TCCTCTGCTCAGGACTTTTTATGACTCTGTGGAGTCCCGGGGCCCAGCTCACTACGCTGCCGTGTGCTGGGCCCCGGGCAGCATAGAGTGGGACAGGAGCAGACTGAACAAGCTGGTCAGGAGGGCCAGCTCCACTCTGGGTTGCCCCCTGGACTCTGTGGAGGAGGTGAGGGACAGGAGGGTGCAAGTCAAAGTCACCTCCATCATGAACAACACCTCCCACCCACTGCACAGGACTGTAGAGGAGCTCCTTCAGTGGAAGACTGAGGCACCCTCAATGTAAGAGCGCTACCGCAGGGCCTTTATCCCCACCGCTGTCAGACTGTACAACAAGTCACTTTAAGTCACTTTTAATTTTGCCACTTTTATTGTACATAATATGTCCTGCATTTAACATGTTTGCACATTTCTTTCTTTTTGAACCATCTTGAGTGTTTCTGTCCATGCCAGATGTGACATGTAAATTTCTCCTTTGTGAGATCAATAAAGTATATCTTATCTTATCTAAAACATCCCTTAATCTTAGTAGAGAACATGATATCTCTTGCATACTTAACAGGGGGCCTGTGAGTCACAATTAGACGCTTTGGGCTGAGAGGGTGGTTCTCTCTTTTAAAGATGTGACAGAAATTAAAATAAAGATAAAAATACAGAAAAGGTAGTATTTATTTATTTTCAATTTGATAGAACATATTTCAGTACAGATACAAAAAAGCTTTGATTTGAGAAAGCTTTTGGTTTTTAGATTATTATTACTATTACTATGGAACCTGCAAGTTCCAAGGAATTCATAAACCCTGCATCACTAGTCTGAATTACTGCTTTTCCCAAGGGCAAAACCATCTTCTATTTCTCTTCAATATATAAAACAAATATTGCATGTTTGAGCTTTAAGACTACCCACAAATTCATGTCCTATCTCCTCTGGATCACACAACATAAAACCTACACCAAATTGTAAAGAAAATATGTGTGTGATTTCATCCACCAAACGCTTTCCACCGCTTTGCTTTTTCTAGCCCGAAAGGAGGATTAGCTGGACCAGCCACAAAGATTTATTTCACAGCGAGAATATATTGAACCCGTTATCTTCTAACCAACAATATACAGCTGGTGGAATACGGTTGGCAAGCTTGAGTCTAACCATCAATATGTATAAGAAAGTAATATTAAAAATACAGGAATTGATCTATCCGCTGGTCAAAAATAAAAAAATGAAACCTGCCTTTGTTGAATTAATATTTATAAAGGTAAGTATTGATAGAGACTCTTGGCAGTAGTTAAAGTTTATACAGTATTTCTGCAGCTTCGAATTGATGAGAAACTGCTTTGCCTATTTTACTTGCATATTTTAGAGTGGGTGCAGAGTCTTGTCTAAGGACACCATAAGAAAAAGAAGGTCCATTATTTGTCCCACAGTGAGTTTGATGAATACACACACATATACACCAAGGCAAGCCGAAAACCTTACTTCCCTGCTCCTAATAGGAAAAGTGGGTGAAGTGTCTTGCCCAAGGACACAACAACAGCAGACATCAGTGGAGTCGGTGGAGAAGGTCTTGTGGTGGGCTCGACCTCCAGGCTTATGGTGCTTTCAGACCGCAAACGCTCAAACGCTGAAGCTTCGCTCACCAGACACGCATTCTCTAGTTTTCAGACGCACGGGACTTTACACCAGAACGTCCTGACCAGCGCCAACAGAGTTATGCTAGCGGTTTCTCGTGTAAAGATCTCCTCCAATAATGCAGCTTTGCAGGGTGTCTGTGTTCAGAGACCTTCCACGGACTTTATATAACAGTAGAATGTGTTCACGGAGGTGCGCAATAAGTTTATTTTATTATTAAACAGTACTTCCGCATTGGCAAACACACTCGAAGAAGTTGCATAAAGTCACGGGAGCATGACAATGCATATTTTCACAAGCACTATGTCCCCCATTGTCAACCCTGGTGTTAAGTCGTGGTGTAGCTCCTGTTTTGGCTGTTTACATTATGTTCAGTCTGCTTGCTCAGACCACTAATGTCCCCGTGACCACTTTGCGGCTCTCTGATTGGTCGCTGCACAAACGTCCCGAGGAAAGGTTGAGCAAAGCTTATCTCCTGTGGGCGTGAATTTTCCGCCGACGCAACGCATGATCCGGTCTGAAAGCATTGCTCTACCAACCACTGTCGCC